CTCTCTCACTCTCACACTGCTCTCACTCTCACACTGCTCTTACTCTCACACTGCTCTCACTCTCACACTGCTCTCACTCTCACTCTCACACTGCTCTTACTCTCACACTGCTCTCACTCTCACACTGCTCTCACTCTCACACTGCTCTCTTACTCTCACACTGCTCTCTCTCACTCTCACACTGCTCTCACTCTCACACTGCTCTCACTCTCACACTGCTCTCACTCTCACACTGCTCTCACTCTCACACTGCTTCACTCTCACACTGCTACTCTCACACTCTCACACAGCTCTTACTCTCACACTGCTCTTACTCTCACACTGCTCTCACACTCACACTGCTCTCACTCTCACACAGCTCTTACTCTCACACTGCTCTCACTCTCACACTGCTCTCACTCTCACACAGCTCTTACTCTCACACTGCTCTCACTCTCACACTGCTCTCACTCTCACACTGCTCTCACTCTCACACTGCTCTCACTCTCACACTGCTCTCACTCTCACACTGCTCTCACTCTCACACAGCTCTTACTCTCACACTGCTCTCACTCTCACACTGCTCTCACTCTCACACTGCTCTCACTCTCACACTGCTCTCACTCTCACACTGCTCTCACTCTCACACTGCTCTCACTCTCACACTGCTCTCACTCTCACACTGCTCTCACTCTCACACAGCTCTCACTCTCTCACAGCAGTGTCTCCCTCCGACACCACCAGGAGCCACCAGGCATTTACACAACCACTTACGAAACCTGTGCATCTTTCCGTAACCCCAAAGACCTTGTTTAGACTTAACGAGCAGTTTATGAGCCCCGAAGCACTCTGAGGTTGTTTACAACAAGAGTGAACTTCGGTTGTCAAATTTCGAAGGTTGTAAACTGTTTACTACATGCAAACAGAGACTCTTGGGGGTACAGACTCTTGGGGTACAGACTCTTGGGGTACAGACTCTTGGGGTACAGAGACTCTTTGGATACAGAGACTCTTGGGGGTACAGACTCTTGGGGTACAGACTCTTGGGGTACAGACTCTTGGGGTACAGACTCTTGGGGTACAGAGACTCTTGGGGTAAAGACTCTTGGGGAACAGACTCTTGGGGTACAGACTCTTGGGGGTAAAGACTCTTGGGGTACAGCGAATCTTGGGGTAAAGACTCTTGGGGTACAGACTCTTAGGGTACAGACTCTTGGGGTCCAGACTCTTGGGGTTCAGACTCTTGGGGTACAGACTCTTGGGGTACAGACTCTTGGGGTTCAGACTCTTGGGGTCCAGACTCTTGGGGTTCAGACTCTTGGGGTACAGACTCTTGGGGTACAGACTCTTGGGGTTCAGACTCTTGGGGTACAGACTCTTGGGGTACAGACTCTTGGGGTTCAGACTCTTGGGGTACAGAGACTCTTTGGGTACAGACTTTTGGGGTACAGACTCTTGGGGGTACAGACTCTTGGGGTACAGAGACTCTTTGGATACAGAGACTCTTGGGGGTACAGACTCTTGGGGTACAGACTCTTGGGGGTACAGACTCTTGGGGTACAGACTCTTGGGGGGTACAGACTCTTGGGGTCCAGAGACTCTTGGTGGTACAGACTCTTGGGGTACAGAGACTCTTTGGATACAGAGACTCTTGGGGGTACAGACTCTTGGGGTACAGACTCTTGGGGGGTACAGACTCTTGGGGGAACAGACTCTTGGGGGGTACTGACTCTTGGGGTCCAGAGACTCTTGGGGGTACAGACTCTTGGGGTACAGACTCTTGGGGTACAGACTCTTGGGGGGTACTGACTCTTGGGGTCCAGAGACTCTTGGGGGTACAGACTCTTGGGGTACAAAGACTCTTGGGGTTCAGACTCTTGGGGTACAGACTCTTGGGGTACAGACTCTTGGGGTTCAGACTCTTGGGGTCCAGACTCTTGGGGTTCAGACTCTTGGGGTACAGACTCTTGGGGTACAGACTCTTGGGGTTCAGACTCTTGGGGTACAGACTCTTGGGGTACAGACTCTTGGGGTTCAGACTCTTGGGGTACAGAGACTCTTTGGGTACAGACTTTTGGGGTACAGACTCTTGGGGGTACAGACTCTTGGGGTACAGAGACTCTTTGGATACAGAGACTCTTGGGGGTACAGACTCTTGGGGTACAGACTCTTGGGGGTACAGACTCTTGGGGTACAGACTCTTGGGGGGTACAGACTCTTGGGGTCCAGAGACTCTTGGTGGTACAGACTCTTGGGGTACAGAGACTCTTTGGATACAGAGACTCTTGGGGGTACAGACTCTTGGGGTACAGACTCTTGGGGGTACAGACTCTTGGGGGTACAGACTCTTGGGGGGTACTGACTCTTGGGGTCCAGAGACTCTTGGGGGTACAGACTCTTGGGGTACAGACTCTTGGGGGGTACTGACTCTTGGGGTCCAGAGACTCTTGGGGGTACAGACTCTTGGGGTACAAAGACTCTTGGGGTACAGAGACTCTTGGGGTACAGACTCTTGGGGTACAGACTCTTGGGGTACAGACTCTTGGGGTACAGACTCTTGGGGTACAGACTCTTGGGGTACAGACTCTTGGGGTACAGACTCTTGGGGTACAGACTCTTGGGGTACAGACTCTTGGGGTACAGAGACTCTTGGGGTAGAGACTCTTGGGGTACAGACTCTTGGGGTACAGACTCTTGGGGTACAGACTCTTGGGGTACAGAGACTCTTGGGGTACAGACTCTTGGGGTACAGAGACTCTTGGGGTACAGACTCTTGGGGTACAGACTCTTGGGGTACAGACTCTTGGGGTACAGACTCTTGGGGTACAGACTCTTGGGGTACAGACTCTTGGGGTACAGACTCTTGGGGGTACAGACTCTTGGACTCTTGGGGTACAGACTCTTGGGGTACAGACTCTTGGGGTACAGAGACTCTTGGGGTACAGACTCTTGGGGTACAGACTCTTGGGGTACAGACTCTTGGGGTACAGACTCTTGGGGTACAGACTCTTGGGGTACAGACTCTTGGGGTACAGACTCTTGGGGTACAGACTCTTGGGGTACAGACTCTTGGGGTACAGACTCTTGGGGTACAGACTCTTGGGGTACAGACTCTTGGGGTACAGACTCTTGGGGTACAGACTCTTGGGGTACAGACTCTTGGGGTACAGACTCTTGGGGTACAGACTCTTGGGGTACAGACTCTTGGGGTACAGACTCTTGGGGTACAGACTCTTGGGGTACAGACTCTTGGGGTACAGACTCTTGGGGTACAGACTCTTGGGGTACAGACTCTTGGGGTACAGAGACTCTTGGGGTACAGACTCTTGGGGTACAGAGACTCTTGGGGTACAGACTCTTGGGGTACAGAGACTCTTGGGGTACAGACTCTTGGGGTACAGACTCTTGGGGTACAGACTCTTGGGGTACAGAGACTCTTGGGGTACAGACTCTTGGGGTACAGACTCTTGGGGTACAGACTCTTGGGGTACAGAGACTCTTGGGGTACAGACTCTTGGGGTACAGAGACTCTTGGGGTACAGACTCTTGGGGTACAGACTCTTGGGGTACAGACTCTTGGGGTACAGACTCTTGGGGTACAGACTCTTGGGGTACAGACTCTTGGGGTACAGACTCTTGGGGTACAGACTCTTGGGGTACAGACTCTTGGGGTACAGACTCTTGGGGTACAGACTCTTGGGGTACAGACTCTTGGGGTACAGACTCTTGGGGTACAGACTCTTGGGGTACAGAGACTCTTGGGGTACAGACTCTTGGGGTACAGACTCTTGGGGTACAGACTCTTGGGGTACAGACTCTTGGGGTACAGAGACTCTTGGGGTACAGACTCTTGGGGTACAGACTCTTGGGGTACAGACTCTTGGGGTACAGACTCTTGGGGTACAGACTCTTGGGGTACAGAGACTCTTGGGGTACAGACTCTTGGGGTACAGACTCTTGGGGTACAGAGACTCTTGGGGTACAGACTCTTGGGGTACAGACTCTTGGGGTACAGACTCTTGGGGTACAGACTCTTGGGGTACAGACTCTTGGGGTACAGACTCTTGGGGTACAGACTCTTGGGGTACAGACTCTTGGGGTACAGAGACTCTTGGGGTACAGACTCTTGGGGTACAGAGACTCTTGGGGTACAGACTCTTGGGGTACAGAGACTCTTGGGGTACAGACTCTTGGGGTACAGACTCTTGGGGTACAGAGACTCTTGGGGTACAGACTCTTGGGGTACAGACTCTTGGGGTACAGACTCTTGGGGTACAGACTCTTGGGGTACAGAGACTCTTGGGGTACAGAGACTCTTGGGGTACAGACTCTTGGGGTACAGACTCTTGGGGTACAGACTCTTGGGGTACAGAGACTCTTGGGGTACAGACTCTTGGGGTACAGACTCTTGGGGTACAGAGACTCTTGGGGTACAGACTCTTGGGGTACAGACTCTTGGGGTACAGACTCTTGGGGTACAGACTCTTGGGGTACAGACTCTTGGGGTACAGACTCTTGGGGTACAGACTCTTGGGGTACAGAGACTCTTGGGGTACAGAGACTCTTGGGGTACAGACTCTTGGGGTACAGACTCTTGGGGTACAGACTCTTGGGGTACAGAGACTCTTGATTGTGATTTGTTTACTGCCCAGACACTTGGACTGGTCGGTAGAGCGACGGCCTCGCCTCTTGCTGGGTCAAGCTCTGAGGTCAAGCTGAAAATCCTGAGACTGTAATGACCCAACCACCCAATCGGAAGCTAACGAGACGACGACGTATCGCTCCCTCCTGGACCATTATCAAGTGATAATGTCCACTTGATAATAGACATTATCAAGTCCTTTATCAAGTCCTTTATCAACTCCTTTATCAAGTCCATTAATCCACTTGATAAATGGTCCAGGTCGGACTGAAACGTCGTCGTTTGATCATCTTGTGAGTGGTGGTTGGGTCATTATGTCTTCAGCCCCGTTATTGTGACTCATCGTCTGCCACTGAGATTGTCTCGGTAATTAATCTAGAACCGGATACTTCCTTTCCTTGGAGACGTCACTCAACACGTCACTCGTGGAGACGTCACTCAACACGTCACTCGTGGAGACGTCACTCATGGAGACGTCACTCAACACGTCACTCATGGAGACGTCACTCAACACGTCACTCGTGGAGACGTCACTCATGGAGACGTCACTCGTGGAGACGTCACTCAACACGTCACTCGTGGAGACGTCACTCAACACGTCACTCAACACGTCACTCGTGGAGACGTCACTCAACACGTCACTCGTGGAGACGTCACTCAACACGTCACTCGTGGAGACGTCACTCATGGAGACGTCACTCAACACGTCACTCATGGAGACGTCACTCAACACGTCACTCGTGGAGACGTCACTCATGGAGACGTCACTCAACACGTCACTCGTGGAGACGTCACTCAACACGTCACTCGTGGAGACGTCACTCAACACGTCACTCGTGGAGACGTCACTCAACACGTCACTCGTGGAGACGTCACTCATGGAGACGTCACTCAACACGTCACTCGTGGAGACGTCACTCAACACGTCACTCATGGAGACGTCACTCAACACGTCACTCGTGGAGACGTCACTCAACACGTCACTCGTGGAGACGTCACTCATGGAGACGTCACTCAACACGTCACTCGTGGAGACGTTACTCAACACGTCACTCATGGAGACGTCACTCAACACGTCACTCGTGGAGACGTCACTCAACACGTCACTCATGGAGACGTCACTCAACACGTCACTCGTGGAGACGTCACTCATGGAGACGTCACTCAACACGTCACTCGTGGAGACGTCACTCAACACGTCACTCGTGGAGACGTCACTCAACACGTCACTCGTGGAGACGTCACTCAACACGTCACTCAACACGTCACTCATGGAGACGTCACTCAACACGTCACTCGTGGAGACGTCACTCATGGAGACGTCACTCAACACGTCACTCGTGGAGACGTCACTCATGGAGACGTCACTCAACACGTCACTCGTGGAGACGTCACTCAACACGTCACTCGTGGAGACGTCACTCAACACGTCACTCGTGGAGACGTCACTCAACACGTCACTCGTGGAGACGTCACTCAACACGTCACTCGTGGAGACGTCACTCATGGAGACGTCACTCAACACGTCACTCGTGGAGACGTCACTCATGGAGACGTCACTCAACACGTCACTCGTGGAGACGTCACTCAACACGTCACTCGTGGAGACGTCACTCAACACGTCAATCGTGGAGACGTCACTCAACACGTCACTCATGGAGACGTCACTCGTGGAGACGTCACTCAACACGTCACTCATGGAGACGTCACTCAACACGTCACTCATGGAGACGTCACTCAACACGTCACTCATGGAGACGTCACTCAACACGTCACTCATGGAGACGTCACTCAACACGTCACTCGTGGAGACGTCACTCATGGAGACGTCACTCAACACGTCACTCATGGAGACGTCACTCAACACGTCACTCGTAGAGACGTCACTCATGGAGACGTCACTCAACACGTCACTCGTGGAGACGTCACTCAACACGTCACTCATGGAGACGTCACTCAACACGTCACTCGTGGAGACGTCACTCACTCGTGGAGACACGTCACTCAACACGTCACTCGTGGAGACGTCACTCAACACGTCACTCATGGAGACGTCACTCAACACGTCACTCGTGGAGACGTCACTCAACACGTCACTCATGGAGACGTCACTCAACACGTCACTCGTGGAGACGTCACTCAACACGTCACTCATGGAGACGTCACTCAACACGTCATTCATGGAGACGTCACTCAACACGTCACTCGTGGAGACGTCACTCAACACGTCACTCATGGAGACGTCACTCAACACGTCACTCGTGGAGACGTCACTCAACACGTCACTCGTGGAGACGTCACTCAACACGTCACTCATGGAGACGTCACTCAACACGTCACTCATGGAGACGTCACTCAACTCGTCACTCGTGGAGACGTCACTCAACACGTCACTCAACACGTCACTCGTGGAGACGTCACTCAACACGTCACTCATGGAGACGTCACTCAACACGTCACTCATGGAGACGTCACTCAACACGTCACTCATGGAGACGTCACTCATGGAGACGTCACTCAACACGTCACTCATGGAGACGTCACTTAAGACGGGGACAAACAATTACAAACATCGAAGCACGAAATCAAACTCAAACAAGAAACAATAAAACACACATGCAACAAATCAATGCAAAACAAATCAACGTGAAACAAACACAGCAAAACAAACAAATCAACGTGAAACAAACACAGCAAAACAAACAAATCAACGTGAAACAAACACAGCAAAACAAACAAATCAACGTGAAACAAACACAGCAAAACAAACAAATCAACGGGAAACAAACACAGCAAAACAAACAAATCAACGTGAAACAAACACAGCAAAACAAACAAATCAACGGGAAACAAACACAGCAAAAGAAACAAATCAACGTGAAACAAACACAGCAAAACAAACAAATCAACGGGAAACAAACACAGCAAAAGAAACAAATCAACGTGAAACAAACACAGCAAAACAAACAAATCAATGTGAAACAAAGCCACGTAAAAAGCACTATCAAGATCAACTAAGATTATAAATCAAAGCAAAGCAGAAAATAAAGACGCTGACCTAACAAGAAACAAGCAAATTAAAGCCATCGGGACCAGCTGGTCGAACATAAACAAACCGCTCAATTAAGAGCCCACGTGATCACTAACCACCTACGTTAACAACCCAATTCAATCACACACACACGCACAAACCACCAACATAAAGCGGTCATTGAAACACCCCCCCATTAACCCCCCCCCTCCAAAAAACTCCAAAGATCACAACACCTATAATTCTGGTAATGGGTTAATCCATTCCCCCCGTCAACTCCCCCATCATCCTCTCCCCCTCCTCCTTTCCACCACAGTAGGGAGTATGGTGGTAAAAGAGAGAGAGAGAGAGAGAGAGAGAGAGAGAGAGAGAGAGAGAGAGAGAGAGAGAGAGAGAGAGAGAGAGAGAGAGAGAGAGAGAGACAGAGAGACAGAGAGACAGAGAGACAGACAGTCAAGAAACTCGATTTTTTTCTTCAAGTTCAACTTTTAATAGAGCAATAATAGAATTTGTATACTTGCTGTGAGGCTATTGAACAGCCGTGGTGACATGACTACATCAGGGCGTAAAGCTGGTGACATGACTACATCAGGCCGTAAAGCTGGTGACATGACTACATCAGGCCGTAAAGCTGGTGACATGACTACATCAGGGTGTAAAGCTGGTGACATGACTACAACAGGGTGTAAACCTGGTGACATGACTACATCAGGGTGTAAACCTGGTGACATGACTACAACAGGGTGTAAACCTGGTGACATGACTACATCAGGGTGTAAAGCTGGTGACATGACTACAACAGGGTGTAAAGCTGGTGACATGACTACATCAGGGTGTAAACCTGGTGACATGACTACATCAGGGTGTAAACCTGGTGACATGACTACATCAGGGTGTAAAGCTGGTGACATGACTACATCAGGGTGTAAACCTGGTGACATGACTACATCAGGGTGTAAACCTGGTGACATGACTACATCAGGGTGTAAACCTGGTGACATGACTACATCAGGGTGTAAACCTGGTGACATGACTACATCAGGGTGTAAACCTGGTGACATGACTACATCAGGGTGTAAAGCTGGTGACATGACTACATCAGGGTGTAAACCTGGTGACATGACTACATCAGGGTGTAAACCTGGTGACATGACTACATCAGGGTGTAAACCTGGTGACATGACTACATCATGGCGTAAACCTGGTGACATGACTACATCAGGGTGTAAAGCTGGTGACATGACTACATCAAAGTGTAAACCTGGTGACATGACTACATCAGGGTGTAAACCTGGTGACATGACTACATCATGGCGTAAACCTGGTGACATGACTACATCAGGGCGTAAAGCTGGTGACATGACTACATCAAAGTGTAAAGCTGGTGACATGACTACATCAAAGTGTAAAGCTGGTGACATGACTACATCAGGGCGTAAAGCTGGTGACATGACTACATCAGGGCGTAAAGCTGGTGACATGACTACATCAGGGTGTAAAGCTAGTGACATGACTACATCAGGGTGTAAACCTGGTGACATGACTACATCAGGGTGTAAAGCTGGTGACATGACTACATCAGGGTGTAAACCTGGTGACATGACTACATCAGGGTGTAAACCTGGTGACATGACTACATCAGGGCGTAAAGCTAGTGACATGACTACATCAGGGCGTAAAGCTAGTGACATGACCAACACCCGAACATAAAGCTGGTGACATGACTACATCCGAACATAAAGCTGGTGACATGACTACATCCGAACATAAAGCTGGTGACATGACCAACATCCGAACATAAAGCTGGTGACATGACTACATCCGAACATAAAGCTGGTGACATGACCAACATCCGAACATAAAGCCTGGAGCGTCCAGAGTAATAAAATTCGAACACAAAACATACATGAAAAGTTCGAAAAACTATTTGGTTTATTTCTTCATTCGTCACAGTGAAGAGAAAGTTTTTCCATCACAGTACACAAACTGTGTAGGTGGGTGACACTGTAGCTATGTGTAGGTGGGTGACACTGTAGCTATGTGTAGGTGGGTGACACTGTAGCCACGTGTAGGTGGGTGACACTGTAGCCACGTGTAGGTGGGTGACACTGTAGCCACGTGTAGGTGGGTGACACTGTAGCCACGTGTAGGTGGGTGACACTGTAGCCACGTGTAGGTGGGTGACACTGTAGCTATGTGTAGGTGGGTGACACTGTAGCCACGTGTAGGTGGGTGACACTGTAGCCACGTGTAGGTGGGTGACACTGTAGCCATGTGTAGGTGGGTGACACTGTAGCCACGTGTAGGTGGGTGACACTGTAGCCACGTGTAGGTGGGTGACACTGTAGCCACGTGTAGGTGGGTGACACTGTAGCCATGAGTAGGTGGGTGACACTGTAGCCACGTGTTGGTGGGTGACACTGTAGCCACGTGTTGGTGGGTGACACTGTAGCCACGTGTTGGTGGGTGACACTGTAGCTATGTGTAGGTGGGTGACACTGTAGCTATGTGTAGGTGGGTGACACTGTAGCCACGTGTAGGTGGGTGACACTGTAGCCATGAGTAGGTGGGTGACACTGTAGCCACGTGTTGGTGGGTGACACTGTAGCCACGTGTTGGTGGGTGACACTGTAGCCACGTGTTGGTGGGTGACACTGTAGCTATGTGTAGGTGGGTGACACTGTAGCTATGTGTAGGTGGGTGACACTGTAGCCACGTGTAGGTGGGTGACACTGTAGCCACGTGTAGGTGGGTGACACTGTAGCCACGTGTAGGTGGGTGACACTGTAGCCACGTGTAGGTGGGTGACACTGTAGCCACGTGTAGGTGGGTGACACTGTAGCCATGTGTAGGTGGGTGACACTGTAGCCACGTGTAGGTGGGTGACACTGTAGCCACGTGTAGGTGGGTGACACTGTAGCCACGTGTAGGTGGGTGACACTGTAGCCACGTGTAGGTGGGTGACACTGTAGCCACGTGTAGGTGGGTGACACTGTAGCCACGTGTAGGTGGGTGACACTGTAGCCACGTGTAGGTGGGTGACACTGTAGCTATGTGTAGGTGGGTGACACTGTAGCTATGTGTAGGTGGGTGACACTGTAGCCATGAGTAGGTGGGTGACACTGTAGCCATGAGTAGGTGGGTGACACTGTAGCCACGTGTAGGTGGGTGACACTGTAGCCACGTGTAGGTGGGTGACACTGTAGCTATGTGTAGGTGGGTGACACTGTAGCTATGTGTAGGTGGGTGACACTGTAGCCACGTGTAGGTGGGTGACACTGTAGCCACGTGTAGGTGGGTGACACTGTAGCCACGTGTAGGTGGATGACACTGTAGTTGTGCACCATTCCTTCCCACCGTCCCGCCCCCATATCCTTAACCTAACCTTCCCAGTGCTATATAGTCATAATGGCTTGGCGCTTTCCCCTGTAAATTTCCCTCCCTCATAAATCGTGACTTTTTTTACATTTAATAAACAGTTTTTGAGTTCCAAACTGTTACGAGTTTGTTTACAACAATATGAACCATGAATTTCGAGTTTCCAAACTCGAAGACATGATTAAGGAAAGATGCAGCGGTTTCGTAAGCGCTTGCGTAAACTTGGGTAACTTGAGGTGACCTGAGATGGGTAATTTGGCCACTGGAAGGCGTCACTGTTGGACAAAATGCTTCCCTTGGCCACTGGAAGGCGTCACTGATGGACAAAATGCTTCCCTTGGCCACTGGAAGGCGTCACTGTTGGACAAAATGCTTCCCTTGGCCACTGGAAGGCGTCACTGTTGGACATAATGCTTCCCTTGGCCACTGGAAGGCGTCACTGTTGGACAAAATGCTTCCCTTGGCCACTGGAAGGCGTCACTGTTGGACAAAATGCTTCCCTTGGTCACTGGAAGGCGTCACTGTTGGACATAATGCTTCCCTTGGCCACTGGAAGGCGTCACTGATGGACAAAATGCTTCCCTTGGCCACTGGAAGGCGTCACTGTTGGACAAAATGCTTCCCTTGGCCACTGGAAGGCGTCACTGTTGGACATAATGCTTCCCTTGGCCACTGGAAGGCGTCACTGTTGGACAAAATGCTTCCCTTGGCCACTGGAAGGCGTCACTGTTGGACAAAATGCTTCCCTTGGCCACTGGAAGGCGTCACTGTTGGACAAAATGCTTCCCTTGGCCACTGGAAGGCGTCACTGTTGGACAAAATGCTTCCCTTGGCCACTGGAAGGCGTCACTGTTGGACATAATGCTTCCCTTGGCCACTGGAAGGCGTCACTGATGGACAAAATGCTTCCCTTGGCCACTGGAAGGCGTCACTGTTGGACAAAATGCTTCCCTTGGCCACTGGAAGGCGTCACTGTTGGACATAATGCTTCCCTTGGCCACTGGAAGGCGTCACTGTTGGACAAAATGCTTCCCTTGGCCACTGGAAGGCGTCACTGTTGGACAAAATGCTTCCCTTGGCCACTGGAAGGCGTCACTGTTGGACAAAATGCTTCCCTTGGCCACTGGAAGGCGTCACTGTTGGACAAAATGCTTCCCTTGGCCACTGGAAGGCGTCACTGTTGGACAAAATGCTTCCCTTGGCCACTGGAAGGCGTCACTGTTGGACAAAATGCTTCCCTTGGCCACTGGAAGGCGTCACTGTTGGACAAAATGCTTCCCTTGGCCACTGGAAGGCGTCACTGTTGGACAAAATGCTTCCCTTGGCCACTGGAAGGCGTCACTGTTGGACAAAATGCTTCCCTTGGCCACTGGAAACACCTTGTTGATATCTCTCATTTTTCTGTCTGTCACGAAGGCAATTTTCTTATCTATTTTGGTGTCGTCTGGGGAGTGAGGAAGACACCCAATGTGGCTTGTGTTCTTGTTGATGTCTTGCGTCTGGATGGGTGACCGTGCCTGGACCGTACATGGACCGTGCCTGGACCGTGCCTGGGCCGTGTCTGCGCCGTGCCTGGACCGTGCCTGGGCCGTGCCTGGACCGTGCCTGGGCCGTGTCTGCGCCGTGCCTGGACCGTGTCTGCGCCGTGCCTGAAACGTGCCTGGACCGTGTCTGGGCCGTGCCTGGACCGTGCCTGAGCCGTGCCTGGGCCGTGCCTGGGCCGTGCCTGGACCGTGTCTGGACCGTGCCTGGGCCGTGCCTGGACCGTACCTGGACCGTGCCTGGGCCGTGCCTGGACCGTGCCTGGACCGTGCCTGGACCGTGCCTCGTGGAACTCACCGTACTGGAGTTCATCTCATATCTGCCACTTTACTAAAATCATCACGAGAACTTACTCAATTATAAATGTACAACCATTTACGAATGTAATTGGTTGTTAAGGCAATTACGAAAGGCAAGATCTTCCTGTTCTAAAGCCATACTGACCTTCGTTGTATAGCATAATACTATCTATAACGAATTAGTAAATTCCCTTCATGTTATCTTGGTCATAAACCTTAATAATATGATGCTATATCATATTAATATATGATAGCCGCACTGCCTTGTGTAGTGGGGGGCTAAGACCGCGCCAACCTGCCTGCCTAAGGCATGCTGTGGTGCAGTGGTTTTAGTATTGTGTTAGGTAGTTGGTTGGATGATCCACTGGTTCGAATCCTGGTGGGGGCCGAAGAGTTCATATAGTGTTGTTTCGCTTAGGTTGTCGCTGCCACCATTGATTCATATATAACATTAATATAATTAACACTTGCTACCACCATCATATATATATATATATATATATATATATATATATATATATATATATATATATATATATATATATATACCTACAACACAACAACAATATTATGAATTGATCACTGACCACACGGGAATTATCAGCTGTAGATAATCAGGTAAGTGAGCAAATAGTAGGCACCAAACCTGGAAGATTAACTAAATCATCAAATCATCAAGATTCATACGTCAGGGTGCGAGCAGCCGCGTCCAACAGCCTGGTTAACCCGTCCTACAACGAGGAGACCTGGTTGACGACCGGGCCGCGAGGACGCTAAGCCCCGAAATCACCTCAAGGTATCAGGTGTGTAAATGAATTTCTGTATTAATTATCAAATGTGCAAAATAATTGATGATCATGTACACTAATTACTAATTGTATCCTCCACTCAAGATTACACGCGTATAAATCTGTATCTATAAAATACTATGTCTGTCTGTCTAAAGTAGGACAGACGCTGGCGGCTAGCCCTCACTAAACTTTCCAAGATGACACATGTGGGTGTGTGTGTGTCATAGGCTTGCTAGGTCGGCCCCGGTGCCACGTTACTAAATATTGGAAGAGAGAAGGAGGGGAACGATGGACCCCCTGTCTCACCTGGAAACCAATAATAAAAGAGCCTATTGTGCATTCTGACCCTCGAATATAGGAATTCAAACAAACTTTTCACGCCTTCAATATATGAGCAGAGAACAGCCCATAGGCTGCATGGGTTCCGGCTCTTGGGCTCCGGCTCCTCGGTCCCCTGATAAGTGGCAATTGCCTTGGTTCAGAAGCTTCGTTCAGGGATATTCTCGTTCAGAGGTTTGCTCCCTACTCACGAATGTCAGCCCGTTATGAACTTGTCTCTTGAAGACATCCATCTTTGTTCCGGCAATATTTCTAATGCTTGCTGGGAGGGTGTTGAACAGCTGTGGACCTCTGATGTCCAGACAGTGTTCTCTGAGTGTGCCTATGGCACCTCTACTCTTCACTGGACCTCTGATGTTCT